GTAAGATAAATACTAAAGTGTGAAGATAGGAAAGTAGCTGTAGTAGTTGACCATTCATTATCTGTAAGATTGAAGATAGGAGACCAGCTGTAGTAGTTGACCATTCATTATCTGTAAGATAAATACTAAAGTATGAAGATAGGAGACCAGCTGTAGTAGTTGACCATTCATTATCTCTGTACTAAACATTAAAAAAAACACAATCACAGACTCAAAGAAAGAGAACAGTAAGCATTCAATATTTCACTTTAACACACTAACAATGATCAGATAGATAATAAAGGAACAGCAGACAAACCTAAGCCTAATTGTACCTTAACACACTAACAATGATCAGATAAGTAATAAAGGAACAGCAGACAAACCTAAGCCTAATTTTACCTTAACACACTAACAATGATCAGATAAGTAATAAAGAAACAGCAGACAAACCTAAGCCTAATTTTACCTTAACACACTAACAATGATCAGATAAGTAATAAAGAAACAGGAGACAAACCTAAGCCTAATTTTACCTTAACACACTAACAATGATCAGATAAGTAATAAAGGAACAGCAGACAAACCTAAGCCTGATTTTACCTTAACACACTAACAATGATCAGATAAGTAATAAAGGAACAGCAGATAAAAGTTTAATTTGACCTTAAGTTTCAAAATTTAGATTAATTACTTAATTAAATCAAGCGAAGTACTTTCATATATGTTACAAGGCATATTGTTATCGGAACAAAAATTAACACTTAGTGTGTCACATTATGTAAGTATGTGATATTTATAATGTCTGATGCATTTCATAATTTAAACAAACACAATGTAATAAACATTAAGTATCAATTGTATGCTTTAGTTTAAAAATTTAGAAACTGATCAGTTTTCCAAGAGTAAGCCTGATTGGTGAAGAAGTTCCATTGGATCTATATATATACATGTTAGAATACTTGTGGTGGGCATCACACAGATAGCCCATAATGTATTGTTGTTCTTAACTACAAGCTACATAACAACAGCTTTAATTTATAAACAAACAGTATAAAGTAACAAAACGTGACATTTCTTGTCCTTTGACATAGAAGACATTACAAAGCCCCCAATTCTCCAAACTTAAGAGATACATTCAATTTCAGGCTTCAAAGTACTTCACAATACTATGAAGTACACTTACCTGCAGTCTATGAATTCTCACAATATCCCCTGCATGGATATCAGGAAAGACTTGACCAATGTGACCAATAACTACACAGATCATCCCATCCAATGTTGGGTCTCGCAGAACAAGTTCCATATAAGGTTTGTTGGAAGCTGTAGATTTGAGAGTAAACATCACAAAAAATTAAATATGATATTTAGTTGGGATTTATCTTACCTAATCCCAATCTTACCATTCTGGAATGTAGCATTTAAACAGCTTCTAATCCCAATCTTACCATTCTGGTATGTAGCATTTAAACAGCTTCTAATCCAAACATTGTAACAAAACTCACACTGTGATTTAATACATCACGAGCTCTCTCACCTGACAAACAATATCAGCAAAATCTCCAGGTTCCATTGTTTTTACTGATGTTGATGCAAATTCTCTCAGTTCTTCCACCTGGTGAAAAAATACTGCTATTAAACTCAAGGAGTTTTTCTACTGATTCAAACCAATCGTATAGTATTTACATATTATCTCTAATCTGGAACTGTGAGAAACAATGCTGGCAGCTATGAAAACAAAAATTGTTTAGTAACATTTGTTAATGTACAGATCCTCTCTTTTATTTTCTTAAAGGGCACATACATACCATTCTTTTACTCAGAGAAGAATCCTGTGGTGTTTAGATATTATAATAACAATAAAGGGTTCTTGTTCATGTGATTATACTATCTAAACATCAAGAAAATATATGCTTTTTGACTTCTCTGTGTATGTTACTAAAGCATTTGAAGGCCAACAAGACTGCCATTACTCAAATTTACAAGTTTATTATGAGTAGTAGGTTTCTCCAGATGGATAAGTGGAATGCAACATTTGGTCCAGATAATAAGCACAAAGAAGATGTGCAGAGTCTGAATTTATGAAGGATTTTTTTGTTTTACTAAAGAAACACAAGTTTTGTTGATTGACCCTCTCTCAACAAACTTGTATATTTTACACAACCTTGTAATCACTATGTAACCATGAAGGTATACATAACTCCGAAAATACTTAATATGTCTTCACAAAACTTTCAATAATTATTATAACTTTTTTGTAGACAAAAAATCTGAATTTTTACTAAAAATTTCCCTGTAAATATATAGAGTTAGGGTGTTGAATGCTCCGAGTGCAAAGTGATTTTTCATGTTAAGATTAAAAATTAATTTCTTCACCCAAAAATTTAGAATAATTTTAGACCTAAAGAGCTTTGTGAGTCGTTAAGAGTCAGGTGGTCTTTAGCTAAGAGATAATTAAGATAATACAGATATAAATGTACAGTTAATTGAACTTCATGTTAACTTATTTTGTATATTTTGATATCCATTACTAACATTAAATGAAACTTAGAGATATTTAAATAGAATTCTAGTTCAGCTTCACTGCTTTTATTTAAAAAGTATTAATATTCACTGATGTACAGTACCTGCTTGAGTTCACTGTACAGCTATGTGTGTAAACGGTACATACCTTCCTTTGATCATACTCAGTGTAAGTGTAAGCACCAGCTACAGATCTTGGTGATGATGTACAGACACCACTAAACACAAGGATATCTTTTGGTGAAAAACATTTTCCTTTCACACTATTTCTGTACCTGTCTACCTAAAACAACAACGTAAAATATAAGAATCCTAATAATGAAGCATAAGAACTTAAACTATGCTAGAGCTCATGTAATACATAAGCTGTTTAAATGCCACATCCCAAA